AACAGAGAGAGAGAGAGAGAGTTCTTCTTCTTCCTCTTCTCAGTCCACCATCTCCTTCTCCCCCTCTCATCATCTGACTTCACTGCATCTGCAGATTACGAGAGAAGAGAGACAGAGCTTGGTGACATCGGATCCAGACTCGACTTTGGGACTTCAGACATTACAACGAAGGATTATTTGGGACTTGTGACAAAGACTTGGTGTTGACGACAATCCCATCTCTCTCCCTCCTTTCGTCTGATTATTTCCATTTTCGTTTTCCTTCTGAAATGTCTAAATTCCGTTGTTGAAAATCCGAAACATCCTTCTTTTCGAAAATTTCGATTTCCTGTTGCATTTCCCGTTACTTAGAAATTCGGAATATCTTCTTTTTCGAATTTCGTTTTTCTGAAACAGTAAGGGGAATCCCTCCTGCGGTATTAATTTCCAAACTGCGAATATTCTCATCTGAGAAAATCCGAATACTTTGTCATTTCTTTTCGGAAATTTTTTAGCAGTTCTAGGATTTTGTTAGTCAGTTCTATAAATCATTTGCAGTCTGAAGTCTAAATTTTTTATGTTCTCTTTTTGATCATTTCGCACTTCAAGGGAGGTTGGGAGACCTACTGAACTTGCAAAAATCAGGATTTTATTATTTCGAAATATTTTTTTTTGCAAAGTTCAAGCTTTTCTTTTTGATTAGTGGAGACTACGTCAGCAGGACACGCCAGCAGACCAGGTCAGCAGGCCTTGTCAGCAAGACACGTCTGCAGGCCACGTCAGGGGACAGAGCAGGAATACCACGTCAGCAGGCCCCCGGCCTGGTACATGCTGTTGCGGTCACAGACAACCGTCATGGACCGGAGGCCCGGTGAAGCAGACAAGGCCTATCAAGCCCGAATGCTGGCTTGGAGTACCGAGACAAAAATTGGAGTACCGAGAAAAAAACGGGCAGATGACGCAGCTGCAGCAGCGAAGAAGAAGGCAGAGGATGCCGAGCAGGCACGTCTGCTGGCACTTGAACAACAGCGCCAGCATGACGAGGCAGCAGCAAGGGCTTGAGAAAGGAACCAACGTCGTGAGAAGATATTTAGCGGAGAGCAGACCTTGCTCACAATGGCAAGTTGGAGGATTGCGAAAACAAGATCGCTCTCCTCCTCTCGCATCTCACAAACCTCCTGGCTACATGCATTACGCAACAGGAGGATATCCACAGCCTCCACGGCTCGCTAGCTAAAGTACAAGGCCGCCTTCAGCAGCTGGAGCAGCGACCTGTCGCCGCACCCGATGCAAGCTCTTCCAAAGCATTGGAAATGCACGTCGGCACCCTCCAGGACGGCGCACAGCTACACCAGACCGCGATGCAACAGTTGCAGCAACGGATCTGTACCACCGCCAATACCTCGAGTTCGGAGCCACGCAAAAGAGCTCCAAAGTTTGACGGGCAGGAGATCTTCTGCGACTCGATCAAGACATATCCGATTCCATGGTTCCGCAAGTTCGAGCTCACGCTGCAGCTCCACAACGTCAAAGAACAGAAGCACCACGCATACTTGTACTCTCGCTCAGGGGGCGCGTGCCAGGCTTGGTTGGACAATCTCTTGTCCAAGTACGGAGTGGTAGCTGCCGACTTGCACACCAAGATCAGTTGGGATGATCTGAAGGCGGCGTGGCACAAGCAGTTCCAGGTTGAGCCGCCGGAGATCAAAGCTGTGGACAAGCTCATGGTCTTCGATAAGGCACGCTGCCGAGTACCGACTGGATCGCCGAGTACCAACGCTTGACGTCAGTCCCAGACATCCAGATGGGCTTCAAAGCCATCCGCCATTACTTCATCTCAAGGTCCTGTTCGGCATTAATGACCTGACTCACGCCGAGGACACCTTGACGACGACGGCGGAACTTTTTGACAAGGCCTCGCAGATCATCATTACGAACAAGGAGGCAAAGAATCTGCGTTCATCTGCGGCAGGCCCGAGCAGGGACCAGCATCGGCCAAGAGTGGTCGTGGTTGCGGCAGCAGCGCCGTTTGACCAAACCAGCGAGGCTGTGTCTGCCAGTGAAGGGGACAGACTCGCAGCCGCCCGGGAAGGTGGCCGCCCCGGCAGAGGCCGAGGACGCGGCAAGACGAAGACACACACCGAATCTAGCCCCGGGCCAGGCGCAGCACCTCCAGCCCCTTGGTCCCAATACAGCATCTCCGAGCAAGCCTTCAAGGGGACAGACTCGCAGCCGCCTGGGAAGGTGGCCGCCCCGGCAGAGGCCGAGTACGCGGCAAGACGAAGACACACACCGAATCTAGCCTCGGGCCAGGCACAGCAGCTCCAGCCCCTTGGTCCCAATACAGCATCTCCGAGCAAGCCTTCAAGGGGACAGACTCGCAGCCGCCCGGGAAGGTGGCCGCCCCGGCAGAGGCCGAGGACGCGGCAAGATGAAGACACACACCAAATCTAGCCCCAGGCCCGACGCAGCAGCTCCAGCCCCTTGGTCCCAATACGACATCTTCGAGCAAGCCTTCAAGGCGCGCACGAGATTCCACTATTGCCTATGGTGCAACATTCATCTTCATCAGAAACCGGTCTGCCCATTGAAAGGCAAGGGCAAACAGGGAAACTGAGCGCCACCGAGAGTGACTCGACAACACTCTCGACGCCTCCGAAATCGACTTCTTCGCGAGTAACTGGCCTTCATTCCGAGGCACACGCGGAAGTCGATAGTCCTCTTCTACTTTCTTTTGACTATGCTGCCCGGCTCGTTCCTACGTTGGGTACTCAAGCTCAAGGACAAGAAGTGTGTGCGGTTTCTTCTCCGCCTGGCAGTGGCAACATATCGTCTTCAAGTGGTGTTTCACGGGAATCGACGAGCGAGTTCAACATAGAGGTATTGGACCCGCTCACGTCTGAGGACTTTGCATGGCTTCCTCTCCCGACCACGGGCCGCTTGCCGGGACCGCAATGCGCAGCACTATGCGCTCATCTCCACACTTACTTATCCTTCTATGCACCACCAACTTCGCCGACGGGAGACGAAGTCGCGGTGGGGGACATCCTTGCGTATACTACCAAGGTGGCCCGCGAGTTTCGCACGCAGCGGTATGATGACAACAACACACCGCTCATGTATGTCCGCATTCAAGTTGGGCAAGCGTCCTGCAGCGCTTTGCTGGATAGCGGCGCGTCTCACAATTTCATGAGCCAATCCTTTATGCAAAGGGCTGGCCTTGGCGCACAAGTTCGGAGGAAGGCAAACCCGACTGCGACAAGTTGGCAGATGGGAAAACGCAGCAACTTCTCGACCGTTACATCGAGGCCGTGCCGGTCTACTTCGCACCTCATGCATGTGAACCGGTGACATTCGAGATTCTCGACACAGACTTCGACATCATTCTAGGAATGCCTTGGCTTGCAAGTGCTGATCACACGGTCAACTTCCACCGGCGGACTCTTAGCGTTCGCGACGCCTTCGGCGCGGAAGTGGCGTGTACTATTCCTCTACCGCACCCTTCGATTCAGTGCCAAGTGGTGACGGCCAAATCATTCACGGCAACTTGCACTTACGAGCAGCCCGATGAGATCGGCCTATGTTTCCTACGGACTGTTGCGGTAGCCGACGACTCACCCACGGACTTGTCTTCGGACCCCCGTGTGGTGCGGTTGTTGGACGAGTTCGCTGACATCTTCGAGTCACCTACCGGTGTGGTGCCGGATCGGCCGATCTCTCACGAGATCATTCTTGAGGCCGGTGTCGTGCCACCGAAAGGTTGCATCTATCGCATAAGCGAGGAGCTTGAGGTCCTTCGTGCAGAACTCGACGATTTGTTGGCTAAGGGCTGGATCTGCCCTAGCAGCTCCCCATATGGAGCACCGGTTCTCTTCGTCCGAAAGAAGAACAAGGATCTACGATTGTGTATCGACTACCGCAAGCTCAACGCGCAAACCGTCAAGAATGCGGGGGCCTCTTCCTCGCATCGATGATCTTCTTGAGCGACTGGGCGGCGCGAAGTATTTTTCTAAGTTGGATTTGAAATCGGGATATCATCAAATCCCCATCCGGCCGAACGATCACTACAAGACCGCTTCAAGACGCGGTACAGGCATTTTGAGTGGGTGGTCATGCCTTTTGGCCTCACCAACGCCCCGACGACCTTTCAAGCGGCAATGACCAACGAGTTCCGTGCAATGTTGGACCGGTTCGTGCTGGTCTACTTAGACGATATTCTCGTCTATAGCCGGTCATTGGAGGATCACCTTGGGCATCTTCGACGAGTGTTGGAGACGCTCCGCCGCGCCACGTACAAGGCCAACCGCGACAAGTGCGAATTTGTCCGGCAAGAGCTGGAATACTTGGGCCACTTTGTCACGCCGGAAGGCATCAGTCCGCTATCGGACAAGATTCAAGCCATCCAAGAGTGGTCGGAGCCTCGGAACGTCATGGATGTTCATTCATTCCTTAGCCTTGCCGGCTACTACCAGCGTTTCAACAAAGGCTACTCGAAGATCACGGCTCACTTAACCAAGCTTCAATGCGAGGATCGACCGTTTGACTTCGGGGAGGAGGCACAGGAATCATTTTTGGCTCTCAAAGTCGCGCTATTATCTGCGGAGGTCTTGCGGATATACGACCCACTTTTGCCTACGCGCGTCACTACGGATGCGTCAAGCTATGGCATTGGTGCAGTCCTTGAGCAACATGATGGTGTGGACTGGCACCCGGTCGAGTATTTCAGCAAGAAAGTGCCCGTCGTGCATTCCATTGACGATGCACGCAAGAAGGAGCTCCTCGGCTTCGTCCACGCGCTCAAGCGGTGGCGACACTTCCTCCTTGGTCGAAGCCAATTTCGATGGGTAACGGACAACAATCCGTTGGTCTTCTGTAAGACCCAAAACACCGTCAACAGCACCATCGCTCAATGGATGGCTTTCATCGACCAATTCGACTTCTTTCCCGATCACATTCCCGGGAAGTCGATCCGTTTTGCGGATGCTCTTTCATGGCGTCCGGATCATTGTACCGCGGTCTACTCAACCTTCGAGATCGACGATGACCTGCGGAACAGCTTCATCCACGGCTACCAAGCCGACCCCGAGTTTCGCGACAAGTACGCGAATTGCTCCTCTCCTAATCCGGCGCCTTCTCACTACCGGATCCAAGAGGGGTACTTGCTTGTCCACACGCGGGGGAAGGACCTTCTTTGCGTAGCGAGTGATCCTCACTTGCGTACACGGCTTCTTGGCGAGTTCCATGACGCTCCCGCCACCGGACATTTTGGCGTCAATCGCACGATTGGCCGCCTCCGCGAGCGATTTTGGTGGCCCGGCCTTCTCGGCGACGTCACACGCTATTGCGAGTCATGCAAGGTTTGCCGACGCTGCAAATCCCGCAATCATCGTCCGTATGGCGAGTTACGACCACTACCAGTCTCGTTGAGGCGAAGGGAAGCGATTGCCATGGACATTACCGGCCCGTTCCCCAAGCACAAGACCGGAGTGGATGGGATTCTCACGGTGGTCGACCGACTCACCAAGTTCCCCATGTTCTTGCCTTATCGCTATCATGCCAAGGCACCGGAGTTGGCCGAGGTTCTTTACGCAGGTTGGATTCGAACCAAGGGTTACCCCAAGGAGATCATCTGCGACCGCGACACCCGTTTTATGTCCGATTTTTGGTTGGCGCTCATCAAGCGATGGGGCTAATCTCTCAAGCCCAGTTCAGCTCACCACCCTCAGACCGATGGCCAGACGGAGAGGGCGCATCAGACCACACAGGTACTCCTTCGCACTCTCATCCGCCCCGACCAGAAGGACTGGGTTGAGCGGCTGCCGGATGTCGAGTTGGCCTACAACTCCTCTATCCACTCGGCTATTGGGATGTCGCCCTTTGAGTTCGAGCACGGCTCGCCGGTCACTTCACCGTTGGGCACTATTACTCCACGAACGGCCTAGAGCGACGGCCATCTGTTTTTCTTGCGTCGGATGCAAGAGCTTCTTGTCAAGGCACGCGACCAGATGGCCAAGACGCAGCAGCGCATGAGCCAGCAGGCCAATCGCCAGCGTCTTCCTTGCCCATTCCGCGCCGGCGACCTCGTGTGGGTTTCCGCAGCGGAATTCAGCCTTGAACAAGACATCTCTCGCAAACTCCCGAAATGGATGGGGCCTTGGCCGATCGTAGCGCCCGCTGGGGACGCACCCGAGGGACCTTCCTTCACAATTCAGGTGCCCGGCCACTTGCCCGTCTACCCAGTCTTTCATTGCTCCAAGTTGGCTCTATACACGCCAGCGGAACATGACGATTTTCCCGGGAGACGTTCGCAAGACCCACCTTCTACTGACGATTTACAGGAGGTCGGCGACATCATCTCCGAGCGACGCTACGACAACAGGCCAACCGAGTATTTGGTGTATTTTGCATACTGCACACACCGAGCTGACCGTTGGTTGACCCGTGTGGAGCTTCAAGCAACAGCTCCAGACGTTCTCGCACGCTACGAACGCAAGACGCAAGGCAAGCCGGTTTCTTCAGCTCCACGCCGTGCCCGCGTCCAGTTCCACCTTCAGATCATCGGCTTCGCCCTCGCCTTGACTTCATAAGGAGGGGGGGGTGTTACATGCTGCGCCTGCACACGCAGGCCATTTTCCAGGCCCTGCATCCTTCAGGCCGAAAGCCTGAAATCCAGGGCTTACAGGCCCCGTGTCGGTTCAGCCCGAAAGCCTGAATTCCAGGGCCTACAGTCCCTGTGTCGTTTCAGACTAAATTGGCAACAACCTTTTTAGCCTGAAATGAAGGGCCATTTTCGGTCGTTCTCCAACCCTGAAACTCAGGCACTGAACCAGGGTTTCGGGAACAGGCTATTCTTAGCCTGTTCCCACGCCAGCCTCAAGCAGCTGCTGCAGCGCCAGCCCCTTGCACACTTCAGCATTGGCAAGAGCAGCCTCCTTGGCCTGGCTCGCCCTTCAAGCAGTCAGGAGGCAGGCCGAGGTAGTACATAGGAACTTCCCATGCACTTCACGAGGCAGGCAGGAGGCAGTTGTAGTCTTCAGGATTCGGGAGCAGCACTCTGGAGGGAGCGCTGCAGGGAGTAGTAGTAGCGTTAGCCTTTAGTCTTCAACGCTGGTCGCAGTAGGTAGCTGTAGTCTCCAGCGCTGGGCGCCATAGCTAGGATAGCACTAGAGAGAGAGAGAGATTGGGCGGAGGCCTTGGGTACTCACCTGCAGCGCCGTTGCTCCAGCTTCGTCTTCGAGGTACCTGCAGCACAGCGCCAACATCACAGGTTAGTATCTGGCTCGTAACAGAGAGAGAGAGAGAGTTCTTCTTCTTCCTCTTCTCAGTCCACCATCTCCTTCTCCCCCTCTCATCATCTGACTTCACTGCATCTGCAGACTACGAGAGAAGAGAGACAGAGCTTGGTGACATCGGATCCAGACTCGACTTTTGGACTTCAGACATTACAACGAGGGATTATTTGGGACTTGTGACAAAGACTTGGTGTTGACGACAATCCCATCTCTCTCCCTCCTTTCGTCTGATTCCCTCCTATTCGTCTGTGTATGTCTGGACCTGGCGCTTTCTTCCTGTGTACACCGCCAGGCTCCTTCACACTTGGTGATGGGTATGATGTATGTTTGGTCTGCATTCAAACAATGATTGGGCTAGTCATTAGCATTCTAGCATTCTGCTTCGCTATCTTTTGCTACGTGAATGAGGTCAGTCCCGGTCAGGTCAGGACTTGTATCTAAATCTTCCACTGCGCTATTCAGCTCCATTTTGTATGTATGAGAATGCACATTGCTCGTTGAGATTCTACTTGCACTGCATTGTCCATTCAGTCCTTTTTATCACATTGCGGATCCTCGGTTATGATGTACATCGCTCATCTAAGCATGTAACACTGCAGGTAGCTCATAGGGACTTCCCAGAGTTCACGGGCACTTCATGAGCAGGAGGCAGGCTTCAGGATTCGGCAGCAGCACTCTGGAGGAATGCAGCAGTAGTAGTAGTAGCGTTAGGAGTAGCCTTCGCGGCAGTAGTAGTAGTAGCGTTACGAGTAGCCTTGAGCGCTGGGCGCTATTAGGAGTAAAGAGTAGCGTTGGAGAGAGAGAGAGAGTTGGCGGAGGCCAGGGAGACTTACCTGTGGCGCCATAGCTCCAGCTTGGTCTTTGTTGTTGCTGCAACAAGGCACCACCTTCACAGGTTAGCACTGGACTGAGAGAGAGAGAGAGTTCTTCTTCTTCCTCTTCTAAGTCCACCATCTCTCCCTCACCCTCTCGCTACCTGACTTCTCAGTATCTGCAGACTACAAGGGATAGATAGAGAGAGAGAGATCGGTGACTTTGGGACTTGACGAAATTTGGATTCAGACTCGACATTGGGATCGAGACATTGGACGAGGGATTATTTGAGGCCTGTATCGAAGACTTGGTGTTGACGACATTCCCATCTTCCCCCTCTTCTTCGTCTGACCCCCTTCCTCTTCGTCTGTGTATGGCCTGGTCCTGGCGCCTTCTTCCTGTGTGTAGCGCCAGCCCCTTCACACCTTGCTATGATGATGATGTATGTTTGGTCTGCATTGCGACATTGATTGGTCTGATCATTGGTATATTAGCCTTCCGCTGCGCTATCCTGTGCTATGTGAGAGAGGTCGGTTCTTGTTCTGGTCTGTACCGTTACAGTATGCGACATCAGAACACATGAAAACCTGCGTTAGTCCCCGGGCGGCCCGGCTGGGGGAAGGTCGCCCGGGTACCCTCCCGGGTGGCCCGGACCGGGCAGGGCCCGGGCAGGGTCCCGGGCGATCCCAGCACATAATATTTTTAAAAAATAGAAAATTAAAAAAAAATCAAAAAAATCCGAAAAAAAAATATGTTGTGTAAAATTGCAATACAAACGACTTTTGGCTGAGGGCCACCTCGAAATTCCTTGTTAATTTCAAGATAAAAAATAAATGGGCAAACATGAGTCCCAAAAGACTCCAAATGTGCCCTTTTAAGCCCTTTAGTCACTATTTATACCCCCCAACCCCCCCTGGATGACCCATCACCAAAACCGAAGTTAAGACCGGATTCTGACTGCTTGGGCCAAGCGCAGTCCTGGCCTGAAGTCTTTTTTTTTGGGGGGGGGATCCTTGCCTCTTTTTTGACCCGTCTGGTTTTGCCGGGCAACCCCCCCTTTGCCCGACTGGCCCGGGCGTGCCCGGCCGGACGACGGCCCAACATAGATGAAAACATAAAATAAATGAAAAAACAAGAACAGACAGCAATAACCCATAGCCCTACAGCCATCAAAATCAAGGCACACGGGCAGACGGGCCCAAAATCTTATCCAAGCCCCCAGGGCCTGTGTAGGACGCCATTACATTCCACATAATGAAAAGGATTCACCAAATAAGTGATACTGCAGGGAATAGTAATTACAGAACAATCATTCCTGACATGCAGCTGAGTTGTTTTAAGCTGCCCTCCCACCCCTCTGCAATGGTGTGGGGTGATGTTGGTGGCTATAACAATGAGAAGTCCGAGAACTACAATTATCACCATTCAATTACCAGCTTACAAACAAGGAGGGAAAGAGGAGAAAGGGAGAGAGACAGAGGGAGAAGTGAGCAAGAAAGAATGACATAGAGAGAGAGAGGAACTCACGCTGTGAAATCGCGATCCACAGAGGCAAGATGTAGCGCCAAAGGAACCCCGTCCCTCGTTCCCATCTCCATTCGCTGAAGGAACTCTAATCTCTGCACGAAATGCATTGCATATTGACCAGTAAGGATGAGTTTTACAAAGAGCATGTTTTCCAACTTTCGCACATTTCTGAAGCCTTTTTACTTCTTTCCTTACCTACTTTTGTCCATTTGAGTCAAAGCATGCTATATTAGCAAGGCCTCCGTAATGTTGAACATCTTGACATGGTTCTCACATGTAAGAGCAAAGGTGATTGATTTCAGTCCCCAGGTAGCACCATCCGGAAGCTCAGCCGTTCCGATCACTCTTCCACGACACTTGAGCTGGCACTAACCCTCAAATAAGCACCAGGCAGTGGTATTCATCGTATGTATGCACAAACTATTCGCAACGCCAATCTGAGATGCCACATATGGAATTTTAGGATGAAGATCTTCATTTATCAAGTTTGATTTCAGAGTGCTTATCTCCTTCCAAATCCCCAAATTCTCCATTCTTGCCATGTATTTTTGCTCATCCTCCTTATTCCCTCGTATTCTGAGGATCTTGGCACTTCTCCCACTTCGATCAGTTGGGGAAACATTGCAGTGGAGCTCTTTCTCCCACTCCTCCCCAAATTTTAGGATCGAAGTGGAGAAAAGTGCAAGGAACATGAGTATGGACGAAGTACAGAAATCCAGAATGCAAAATCACACTGAAGTCCAAGTATTCAAAGCCAAAGCAGATAGCACATGGAACCGATTAACCATCCCATTGAGAATGATACAGAAGAATCGAGAGTCAATGTCCATGCCCACCAGGGCAACACCAACAGCATAACCCAAATGTAGCTCTCTCTTGTGAATGGCGCCAGGCGCCCTATCTACTCTAC